ACTCTGTAGCAAGTCCTTCAGGGAGGTTCAGCTCTCCACCAAATGGACTCCCCACACCCTCAGAGGAAGGCCAGGGCTTTCTGATGCAAAACAGGGAGCAGGAACAGCAAATCATGAAGGAATGGCAGGACTGCAGCAGCCCTCAGCTCATAGAGCCATGGAAACATTAAGCCTGCTTCATGCTACTAAAAATAAGGCGCTATCACCTCTCCCCCACATCAAAAAGTTTACCATGTTATCCAGTAATCACTGCCAAGACATTTGGCTGCTGCACTGCCCTTCGTGCAGAGCTTCCTGTCTGATCATTCACCCTGAGAGACTTGTATGGGAACTGACAAAACAGGCATCACGTAGGAATTTCCTAAAATGCTCCTAAGGACAGCAAGCATCCTTTTTCTGCTACTGTATCACTTATTAATTTCATTACTTGAACTGAATAAGCAGCGAACAATGGATTGCACAGCATGACCAACGTTTCAACAGGGAAACTATGCAAGGCAGCACGATATTCTCATTTGTAAAAGCAAAAATGTAAAACCAACACGCCATGCTGGAATGAATTAGAAAGAGCTATTCAAGACAGTCAAACTTGCATGCAGAATTTATTGTGGTTTATTAGACGGCTAAAAAGAAAATGAAATCTTCTCCTAATATCTTTCCAATCTCAAGCTTTTGCTAGTCTTAATTACAGAGCAACAAATTATGTACAGCATCACATTATTATAAACTATGTTCTTTTTTTTAACTGAGTCTAAAGCATGGTTAAACATTCTTAAATTATTTTTTTTCTCTATATTTCGCAATGGAATTCACAGCACACAAAGTTCCCAGGGTAAAACTTAAGACATCCTTCAGTTTACCCTAAGCAGCTGAAAATAAACCACAAGGAAAATTTACAACCACACCTATAAGGAAAATACTATAAATTCACTTAATTAATAAACAAGCCCCACCTTCATCATACTTGCTGAAAGCAGTCTTTTAGAAGGAAATGCTTTTAGCTTATTTAACTGAAAAACAAACCACTCTACCAATACTATTACCCCTTCACAATATTCCCTCCTGTTATATAAAGAAAATGTGTTGTATATAGGTGTGACTAAAACCAGAAATACTATCAAGATAACATCTCTGGTAACAGGGACTAAACACGAAGACAGTTAGTGAATGAGTACATACCAAGCACCACTAGAAAAAACGTTCCAATTTGTAAAAATCATGTCATATACAGCACATTTACTTTCCCATACAACCAAATTTAAAGATATTCAAGACTGAAAAGTCTAAAATCACTATTACAGGCAAGATCCAAATATAGGAGCAAAATGAAACAAGCTTCTACTGAAACATTATCTCCTACCCATCACAACTGTAAAATTCTACATTGTAGTCACAAATGATTTACGCAATTTGACAGGGAGCATCACTGAATAATTCTGTGTTGTAGTTGTCTTCCAAGAAGATGGAGGCAGCAACCAAGTAAAACTACAGCTGCCCCAACATAAGAAAAGCAATAGAAAAATCTGAACAACACAGATTCCAGACCAACTTAGAATAGCTAAGTAGAAACCAGAAATACAATCTTTTCCTCAGAAAGGAAACGTGGAATCAAAAGAAAATGGGGTATAAAGTATCTGTCTGTAATTTGAGTTCTGTCATATGTGCCTTATCCCTTACAAAAGCAGCTAGTATAAAGGTGAATTAGCAATTAAACTAAACCTGTCATCTGTAAAATGCAAGGAATATCTAGATAAACTCATTCAGCTAGAAACATTTATTCATCACTTCTTAGAAAATGCAGGCCTAACATTTCTGGCAGAGGAGTTTGGCCCTACAGCCCAGGAGCTCCAAGAACAACTTCAAACCCTTAATGATGCTCTGGTTTGGTATATTATACTTCTTTATTATGTATGCCCCCTATCCAGGTTCTGAGTTTTTTCTTCTGTTCTGCAGTGAACAATCAATCCAGAGCATCTTTTGCCTTTCCTTTGCAAGAGAGCCACCCATCCGCACTTAACTCATGCAAAGAAACAACTCTCAAAGCTCCCACAATAAAGAGAGATCAATGATCTGGAGGATTCACTTCAGAAGGAGGCATAAGGACAGTACAACTTGATGTGATCCCAAGAATCTGCAGACTGCTTTATTAATTCTGCTTTTTTTGAAGAAAAACATGAAAGAAGTAATACTGTATGATCTTGCAGGTGTAGATAAAGACCAGTATCTCACTGAGCTATGGGAAGAGGAAGAGAATTAATCTGAGGGAACTTGAAGTACAGCCAAAAATTTTTTAAAAATTGCTTCATACTAAAGAAATGTAAATTAAATACAAATGAGTAATAATGAAAAAAAAAAGTTGGCCTTTCTCCTCAAGGAGGAAAAAAAATGGCTTGCTCAGCCAATCTTCCTCAAGTTGTGCTTTTCATTTCTAAAGATAAACTACTTGACTCTATCACTATCTTGGTAAAATGTAGGAGAATGTGAAAAGGGAAAATATTAATTCACATCCACAAGGAAAAAAAAATCACTAATGATCCAGATTCATAAATGTAAGAAATACACTTTAGTACTGAAATAGTATCTGTTCACCCAAGTACATTCAAATAGAAATCCACTTCAAGTAATGTGCCTATTTCTGCACTGTTTTAGAAAATGTAATTAGGCTTTTTAACATCTTGAGTACAAAAAATAAATGATCATTCAAAAAAATTAGCAACTAATTTCCATCTCTGAACACTCAGAACATGAGCATTTTTCTGAAATTGATCTCAAACCCAATGCATTGTCACACTGTATGGCAAGATGAAAATGAGTCTTCTCTCCTACATAGTCCCAAATTTTAATCAAGCTGGACAGAATAGAAATACATAACTTTTTTTTTTCCAATTTAATCCTTTATCTGAAAAACACTAATAGTTTCAGGTATTCTATCACATGAAAGGGAATTTTACTTTTTCCATTCTTACATTTTAGAGTATCTTTGGAATCTTCCAATACGCACAGTTTCCCTTCTATTGTTGTAATTCACTAGGATTTCCCTTTTTTCCTTACGCTTACCCTGATTATTTGAAGGTTTATGACTACCCTCACAGAAGTTTTCAGTTCCTATCTTTTAACACTAAACTGAATTTTTCAACTCTCAAACTGCCTGAAGCCCAATTCCACTTTTCATGCTAATTGAACAGATGCAATAGGTAGTACAAACCCAAGTTCACCTATACACTAATTCATTAGTATGTACTACACATACCTGTTCCAGCAAGGCATAATTTTTAGAAATTAGAGCCAACAGACCTTTAACTCTTGTGCAAGTAATATGTACCACCCAAATCTCTATGCATATGCATAATATATAAAGATGGTAATGAAGTGAACTGACAAAGAGTATTTCAAGTGATGTTCTATTTGGACAGTAGTTAGCCCTGTGTTGTTATTTTTCATTAAAGGGGAAAAACAATTATTTCTGTAATCAGGATTACAGTGCTTCCCCAATTAGGCTACTGCATGAGGCAGAGTGCTTTCATGACAAAGAGCTGGCTGTCACTTTCACAATGAAAGAACTACTAATGCATTACATTTTTTTGAGGCTCAGAACACACTCATCCCACAGTTGCACAAAACAAGTGTAACACAAACATACACAGAGTATACACACCAGTACTTCAGGCATACTGTGGGTTTGTAACCTGTCATCCTGAAGTTGACCCTCCAGTCATATTAGTCAACAGTAAGGGGGAGGTAGAAGAATGAACCTGACAAAATTCACACAGAAGTTTGGTTTCTAAACTGTTTGCTCTGTAGTAGCTAAAGAATGAACATAAGGGTTTCAGAGTTTTGCCCACATAAAAATCCTGTCTATAAACTCAATCTTAAACTCAAGGTCTCTTTAGTATGTGAGTAAATTCTGAAGATCTACTTTCTCTAGTTGTCTGTTGCTTTCAGAAATTGAAAACTGCAATGTCAAGAGATTTAAATCACTATTTTTGTACCTCCTGCTTAATATTCTACCATTTTTTGGTAATTCAGAAATTAAGTCTCTCTCCCTATCTTTAGTAATATCTAAAAATGTCTTCTGAATAAATCTGCTTATAGAGACAGCATGTGTCACCACAAGTTTCCTCACAGCCAGCATCTATTAGCATTCACTAAGTACCCAAAATCAGTAGGCCATTTTAATACCACCTACCACTTTCTTTTGCAAGATAGTCTCAATTTTCCTTGTAGTATGGAAAATTTTTCCACCACAGAAAAGGATCTGATTTATTCTTATCATTTTACAGGGGCACAGAAGTGGTGGTAAAAATACAAGTTAATGGCATGGGATGCACTATACAGCCACACTTGAGTCACCTTGCTTTGAGTGAGAATGCAGAGAAGATCTAAGAGAAGGGCTCTCACAGGGTAATTCTGGTCTCTGAAAAAGTATTCAAGTCATCTAGATGTGCAGAACCCAGTTTGTACTATCAGGAAATGAGAAAGACAACCATTTTTCAGTTTCACTACTTTCATTTTTCCCTCAGTATACTGACAGCAAAGTTTTTTGATACTAAAGGGATTTGTTCTCTTTGCAAAATGTTTAATGTGATGATCTAAAAAAACGTGTCTTTGTTTCTTAAAGTATCAGAATCATCTAGAAGCGAAACATAAAAGCATGTCACACTTCCCCAGCCTTGAAGTGAAGAATACTAATACTGAAGGAAAGAGAAAAGTAGTAACAGTACAGCATTCCCTTTTAAAGGTGGTAACTATTTCCTGTATCTGTATCTCAGACAAAAAAAAAAAAAAAGTCTCTTTAAAAAAATCTCTCTCTATTCTCTTCTAAGGAATAATTCAATCTGGGATGAGGCAGTTTAAAGACCACTAGAGTATTACAAAATCATATCTCAACTTCCTTTTAGGATGCTACTCTGCAAGCTTACTCTTACTCCTGTAGCAAATTAGTTGTATTTCAAAAGTACCTTCTAAAAATGGAAATCAAAGGCTTGCATACAAATACTTACTGCAGGTATCAGTAACTTTTTTACTTCTTCAACAGCCCTCTTCAGCTTTATTTCTGCTCTGTTTTGAGCATCCTCCACAGTGATAAGTACATGTAAATCTTCATTCAGGTGTTCCCAGTTGGGCTTGCCTCGATTCTGTTCTTCCTAAAAAAAATTAAAACATGGAAGCTATGAAGCACGTACATTCTGTATAAAAGAATCACAAAGAGTAGACAAAATCAAATTTATAAATTCTGTAAATAGTATGAACTTTATTCTCAGCAATGTTTCTTCATACTTTGGAGACTTCCGTATCATATGAACTTTCAAAATATCATTTTTGAGGTTTTGGAACCTCCTACTCTATATTATACTTTTTAAAGACTGCAATACATATGCTATTTCTTAAGATACCTCCTCCAGCTGAATAAAGGAACAAGAATAGGAATACAAACATAGTATTACTTTCAGTATTATTTAGAGCCTTTCAAGAGTAAAACAGGTAAGACATACTAGTAGCTAAGCAACCTGTCTTTTGAAGAAAAGTGAAACAGACACCAGACATAGAAACTCCATCTGAATCACTACAAAGAACAGGAAAGCAATTCTCCAGTGTTAAGAATCACTTTCAAATACTCATGAAGACAAGATTCAAAGAATCAAACACTCCAAAAGGAACAGATGTTGCTATTTTCAAAGGAAAGCTCCATGTACTGGATGAAGGAAAGACAGGAGGAGATGACAAGGCTTTAATACTGAAGTTATGTAAGGGCAAGTGACAAGATGGTCACCATTACACAAGTACTCATCACATCCACAGCATTAGTAATCACAAAGATAAATATAAGAAATGTTTTCAGAAAGATATAGCATGCTAAAGAGGCATTTCAATTTCAAACAACAGAAACCAATAAATTTAACTAACACATTCAAAAAATAGGATAATGAAACACAACACACAAGAAATTTTCCAACTCCTTTTTTAAACAGTTAATAAAGCTAGCTAAATTTTCATGAAACTTCATTGAATTTTGACAATATTTAAAATATAATACAACAATTTTTAAAAAATGGGGCCTCAAAAAAAAGCTTATTACAACTTTGAATCTATAAAAAGGCCTACATAAACAAACACTACTTGTTTAAAATTTAAAAAGCTGAGTATAATAGAAGAGTCTTCTATTTGTAAGATAAACCTTTGTGGCTTAACCACAATTCACACTTAAACTTCATCCTTTTTTTTTTTTTTAATTGCAAATGTGTCTTTTTCCGCAAATTTAATGAAAAATTCCTCCAGGAAATCAAATACATTGAGGAAATGTTCTAAGACTTAATACCAACAAATATTTGCAGAGCCTCGTATTCATATATACCTGAGGGAGCACTGCTCCTCAGAGTGCTTCATTTTTAATTCAGCTAAGTCTGAAATGTTTTGTGGAATACGCAAGGATAAAAACGGGGGGCGGGGGAGAACTGAACCATGAGAGATGTATGAAAAATGGATGTAAAGGAATCAGTACTTTGAAACTACTTTTCACTATGTATGTAACGTGCACATGTCCATTACTCCACACTATCAGATACAGTGGTGTGTTCTGTTGTTTTTAGTGTTATTTTTGCCAATTTTTTTTAACAAAGGTGGCTGTGAAATTAGGTCTGCCCATTTCAGAAGCTGGAAACAAAGAGAAAAATAACTCTCACTTATGATATAATACAGAAAGTGATGCAAAGTGCAGCTGAGTTAAAACATCCTCTTTGTTGAAATACAATCTTTGAAAGAACTGTCCATGACAAGGTATTTGCAACTTATTTATTCAGTTGTGATCAAAACTCCACTGTTACTTATTAAACAATTCCATTTTTTTTTTAATCCAAAGCAGGAATGAGCTGTTTTCTTTTAAGATGGTGACAAGCAACACCAAAATGAGGTAGTATATAAAATAATATGTAACAGGTATGAAGAATGAGAGAAGGTTCTTAAACCAGCAGAGGGCAGAGGAAGAAATGTGCAACTACCTATTCTGGCACTGAGCCAGTGTTGGAATGGGAAAGGTCCTGGTTACTAACACCAGATGCAAGAAACCTGCACAACCCCAGTAACACGGGAGGCAAAACAAATAAAACAAATTTTAAAAGGCCAAGAGGAACAAATGTTAAGGAAAGGTGTCCCCAGGTAAAGCAGCAAGTTCTGCTCCTGAAAGACAAGGAATGCCTCAATGCAGTTTTAGCTACCACACCATTAAACACCATGCACCATGTTTATAAATAGTGTTAGCAAACATAAAGGGACTTCATGGTGGTGTATCCTTTTCTCTCATAATGAAAATAATACGGTGCAAAGTCTCCAAAACTTGTGTCAGATTAATGTTACATCAAGCATTGGCACTGTACTCCAAATAAGTCTGTTGCAGCATGAGAATTTTTTCCTCTATTTAAAAAGAGAACAAAAAGCAGCATACAGGACAAATTAAGGACACTGAAGATTTTTTTATCCCCCTAATTAACTTTTAGGTGGAACATGTTGTGTAAGGTTTATAATCATAGCTATTATTAGGGTGAGACCTCACAGCACAAGTAAACATACAAACTACTTATCAGTAAGATAACTGATTAGTGTATGACTATGATAAGCTCCTCTACGGCCATAAAGTACAGTAATAAAAGTGCTGCTGTTGAGGGTGCTATTCATTACACCACATAGTAGGCCTGAAAAAAAGGCTAAGAGTAAAATTTTGCACACTGTTTAAAAAATAAAAGAAAAAACAGTTTGGAATGGGCTTCCAATTTATGTTTATGAACCTCAATACACTGGGGTTATGATTTCAACCAGTGCTCCCAATCTGTCTCATGATTTGGTTTTCTTAGTGGGTTAATGGTTTCCTAAGATATATCTTTTATTTGATTGGGAATGCTAGTTGAATGTTATACCAGTATGTATATTTCATTATTTATGGGTTTGGTTTTATCCAATTTGGGAAATTTAGGTCTTTACTAGCTCATTCATTCCAACAGAAAGTCAGGTGCAAAACACAGAGTTACAATCATGGGAGAGGTAACCTGCAAACCTCCTGCACTTAAGAGCTACCATTTCTTATGCTACCTCATTCTCCTTTTAAATATTTTTTAACAGGATGGTTTGGGAAAACATATTTTCTCCCAAGTAAAATCTTTATTTAACTAATCCTCTGTGCAACGAGTCTTGAACACATCTTTTCTCAACCATGCTTTGTTATAGTAAAGCCTGAACAGCAAAGTTGAATATATCTGGAACACAAGTAGAAAGGTATCTTTCTGAAGACTCATGAAATATGGTCCAAGATTTTAAAGGCTGATTAGGGTTTCTTCTGAAGTTTTGGGGGAGAAAATGGTGAAAAGATGGGGAGGAAAGAATCACTAGGACTTGCCTCGTTGCATAACTTGGTACAAAGAAGCTACAAGATGTGGCGGTCTTGAAGCGAATTGCAGATAAGACAAACCAGTTCACTTCAGAGATTCAGAAAATCTCTGGGGTGGGAAGGAACCCTGAATATCATCCAGTCCAAGCCCCCTGCTCAGGGCAGGGTCAGCTCAAGCATGTTGCTATGGGTCAGGTTCTAAATATCTCCAATGACAGACACTCCATCCCGTCCCCTGGAAGACGTGTTCAGTGTTCAACCAGTTTTTATGTTCAACAACATAAAAAGCCCTTTTTCTTAGGTTTAAACATAATTTCTTTTCTTTCAATGTGCACATTGCCCCTTGTCCTTAAGTAGCAACTGTTGATCCATTCAGCCAAGTTGCCAGGTCTACCTATTGGAAAAGCAGTCAGGAGTAATAGAAATGGCCATGAGAATTATTTTGGGAAAGAAACATTTGCTACCGCAGCAGGAAGGGCACGCACACTGAAGGAAGAAACAGCATCAGGGAAATCAGAAAACCTGACTAAGACTTGCGGAAAAAGGAATTCAGCTGCATATATTCAAAATTATATTACAAGCACGATAAGCAACTGGCAGTGTGAAGTCTGCCTGCATCCCAGAGATTGTCTATGGAAGAATTATACAGGAAAAACGGAGACTGAAGATGTACTACAGATGAATTACAAAGTAAAGTGATTTACACCACAATCTTGGGGAACAACAATATTAGGAAAGCTTAATTATAACCAAACTATCTTGTCTACTGAATTAAAGAACATTAAAGACAACATAAATGGCAGATGAAATTTCACTGTGTTCCTTGTTTGGCAGAAATTTCAGTATCCTTAAATATAGCCTAATTCTGTAGACAGATTTGCTTTCATTCTCTTGCCTGTGCATATACACTCATTAATCCTAAGAGTACCTATGCACAATAATGGACTGCTCAATATTTATCTCGCTATTAGGGCCAATGTATTAGGTAGTTAAAAAAAAATATTGCTACAAGTCCTAAAATTTAGCTGCAGAAAAAAAAAAGTAGTGTAGCTACAGGAATTTTCTAGGGGAGGGATTTAGGAAGAAGCAGAAAAGCAGGTAAAGGATGCAACTGACTTGAATCTATAAAATCAAACTTAAATATTAGAAAGATTGTTCCTTCTGGGGAACTACTGCAGTCCAACTCACTGTAAAATTGTATCCCATATTTTCCACACACCTCACCATACCACAGTAACTTCAAGTTGTGGTCTTGCACCTCTGCATCTTGGGCCTAAATGGCTATTCCTATTTACAGCTCCATATCCCATCCCAATGCTTTCTTCTAATTCCTCAGTTTCTGACTGAACAAGACTGAGACAGGAGCTTCCTAGCTTTCTGTAAGCTATGCAAAGTAGATGACTGAAAACTCCTCTAGAATAGAGCTCAAAGTCAGGTCTCTGTCTAGCCAATACGTTTCAAACAGCTTCAAACCCAAATGAAAGGTGTCGAGGTAGACTGAAATTGTAAAAATTATTCAAATGTTGGAAAAGAAAAATATCAACAAAAAGAAAGTTACCAAAAATATTTCATCATCAACTTAAAAACCTCCTCAGATCTGATTTCTCATCCCAAAGACTTTCACAGTATGGCAAACTGACAAAAAATAAGTTGACAAATTAAGAACTGATGAAGTAGGATCCAGTCACTTCCAACTGTCAGAATACCATTAAAGAAAAATGAAATTAAAACTAATGAAAAAATACTATGCTAGTACCTGTTTATATGCAG